ATTCAATTCAATTTGAAAAATCTCATTTCATTATTATTAGTAATTCTTATATAATATTTATCTTTATATCTTGTATTTTTTCTTGAGTTGAAAAGTAACTCAAGTTGAAGTTTTAAGATAAACTAAAAGTTTAATAAAGGAATTGTTAAATTCATTTACTATTGCCTTTTATCGTATTTTCATATAGGCGTGATTGTGATATTGTCTTATATTTAATTTAATAGATTGAATTAAAAGTTTATCATTTAAGTTTACAGATACCAAGCCAACAATATATATATACATATATATTTTATATTGATAAGAAAGATAAACTTTAAAATTATAGGAAGTTCTTTTTCAATTATTATAAAATAGAAAAATAAAAATGTGAAAGATATTTGTAGTTTATAAATAATATTTTATAAGTTATTCAAATAAAAAAAACAAGAATTATAAAGATAAATATTATATAAGAATTACTAATAATAATGAAATGAGATTTTTCAAATTGAATTGAATATAAAATTCAAAAAATAAAAATTTTAATTATTTTAATTTTATTTTATCTTAAAATTTTTATTTAATTTGTATATATTAAATAAATTTAATAATTTATAATATATTTTACAAAAATAAAATAATTAACAAATTAATATTAGGTTTAATTAGAATTAGATAAAAAAAAAATTTAATTATAAGTTTAAAATTTATTTTTTAAAAAATATCAATTTTAAAAATCTAATATTAGATGATAAACAATTTAATGTCATATATTATCATATTTTTATTTTATATTAGCCAATTATAATTATAAGAATATTAAATAATCAGATAAATTAGTAATATAAGTTTTCATTTTTTTAAATAATTCTAATTATTATATAATATAATAAATTTAATACATAAATATTATATAAGATTAAACTTTATTATGTAATATTATTAAAATATAAATTTACTTTTAATTCTTTTACTATATTGATAATAATTATTTATATTTAATTAAATGATTTTTAATTTTTAAAATTAGTAATAAGATTGTTTTTTTATTAACATAATTTTTAATATTATGAAATTTTGTTTATTTAATAAAAATTAAGAATTTTTATATCAAATCTAATGTTTGTTTATAATGAAAATTATGCGTATTTATTGAACTATTTATTCTATTTATCATTTACCAATATAACTTCTTTTGTAACACATATATCATTATTCATATTGTATATAATTAGTATGATATGATTTTTATAGAAATGGTAATAATCTTGATAAAATTCTAATATATTTTTAATGTCCTTTTAATTTATTATATTCTATTAAGTTTTCATCCATAAAAATATCTAATTATACAATTTGGTCACTAATCTATCATGTTATTAAAGATTTACAGCTTTCAGTTAAACTGATAAAAATTAAAAAACATTCATGAAGATTTCTATAATAATATAACAGATATTTTAACAAAGTAGAATGTTTTAAATCACCTTTTATATTAGACTATACTGTTTTTGATGATTTTCAATTACATTTTAACTTCAAAAATGTTTCTATAGAATCATTAACTAAGAAATTCTGAAAGGATTTAAATATTGCCATGCAATTCTTCTACATTTTTTGATTTAAATAAAAATATTTTATTAATTCAACTTATTTGATCATTTACAATCCACTGGCCTATCTTCTTTATAATTTTTACTTCAAAAAATGATGATATCTCAGTAGTTACTTTCTTCATTTAGAGAAATAAAAAGACCTTCAAGATAAAATCTCTAATAAAAGATTTATTAACAATTAATAAACTCTTAGTCAGATGTTCAGATCTTTATAAAGATAGCTATGTGTTTTTTGTAATATAAACAATAAAAATTATCATCATTTATGAACTTGTCTTCATAGATTAGATAAAATTACTGATATTTGTAAATCTACAAGTGAATTCATTAATGATATAATTGTTGATAACTAGAAAAAAGTGAAAAATAGTTACAAGTTCTATTTGGCAATCAAATAGCAATTCTTAGATTCCTCTATTAACCTTACTTTTTGCATCCATTTTGCTAAAGAAATAATCCCTACTGATATCCTTCTACTTCTAATGAAGCTTTTCTTTTCAACAAATTCAAAAAATATTCTAATAGAAGATTCTAATTTCTTATATCAACTTTTCATAACAAAATCTGGATTTCAAGATGCAACAGAATAATCAAAATGAAAAGATCAAGAGGGATATCAATTAGATTAAAGAAGAAAAAAGTAAAAATAAAACATCCACTAGTTCCAAAGATTCTTCATAAAGCCTCAGATACATGGAAAACTTGGTGTATTTTGGCTATACAATTTGGTTTTTCTTGGTCAAACTTCTTAAAATGGTACTGATATTATCATTTGAATTTCTTGCTAATGTCTAAATCATTAGATATGAATCTTTTGGTTTTTTCAGAGAGAAATTCCGGTGATTGGTCGATCCAAACGGGTTTGTAACAGAATCACGGAGGATAGTCAGTTTAGTTTTTACTGTTTTTACTTCTAATTTTAAAATTTGATTTTGATTTTATTTGTAATTTTATAACATAAATTTAACAAACTTATGACAGTACCACATCGTTAAAAAAAAAAAAAATTAAGTTTCCATCCATTTGTAGGATCCCATTATCAAATATTGCTTTGGAAGTCGACCTGGTGATGGCGATAATATTGTCATTTTTTGCTTACCAGTATCAACACTAGATCTACATAACAATAATAAAATTGATTAATGAAAAAAAATATATATAGAAATAAAAAAAAAAGATGTATTTTTAATTACACATAAATAAATCCGATGATTGATGATTCAAGTAAAGAATGTTCTTCTGAATTATTAGCAGAGCTAATTGCCAAAATAGAATGTAATAACGTATCATCATCTGGTTCGACTTTCACTAATTGAGTTTCACTGACTTTTCTGTCAATTCCAATCGGAAGTGCAGATGAAGGCGCTAAGGATCCTGTTTGAAACATATTAAAAGTATTAAAATACAAAATGAAAGTTAAGAGATCCTTTTTTTTTTAAAAAAAAAAAAAAATAACTTGCCAACTCCAACGCGATATATGGAAACTTCGTTTAAATTAATTAAAGTTGAACAGGGAGATAATTCAAATTTTGGCAATCCATAAAAATATTCTCTAATTTTTCGCATCTGCATTTGCCTTCGAAACGCGTTATCTCTATCAACTACCTGCATTTTCAAAAAAAAAAAAAAAAAAAAAAAGATTAATTTCCAGCTATATATATTAAAAAAAAAAAATATTAGAATGATTTCACAGGTTGAGGGCTATTAGCCCGAGAAATGCCTAATAAAGCACATTAAATCCTTATTCAAAATCTATTTTTTTTTCTTATTACTAACCCCTCCTGATTTTGATAATTTAACTACATTAACACCAGGGCGCTCCTTATATAATCTAGCCATATCACTATATAATCGTTCATGACCAAGTACAATTATGATGTTTACTTCACTCAACAAATGAAAATGTTAGAAATAACTCTCAGAATAGTGACATAATACAAATCATAGTTGTCAAAAATTACCGTCAAATACTTCCACACAATGTTGTATGATCTCATACCCGGTGCCGTCAATGAGTCCACTAGTGTCAATCACGATTCCTGAAACTTTAGCTACAGAAACAGAGTTTTTAGAATTAAATTAAACATCAATGTTCCAAATGAAAAATATCATTTACCAATTTCATCTTCAACCAAGCGTCGCGAAACGTTATAGGCTAATTTTTTTGTTAATACTTTATATAATTTTACATTATCACTAGGATCCGAATATCCATAATAAAAAACCATCGGCATATATGAAGAGCTAAACGATGGTGCGGTTGTTGCCGATGAACCAAAACCTTCTTCTACGTCAATGATATGATTGATTGGTGTCGCAGACAAAGTCCCTGGCATTGTAATTGAACCCTAGGATAAAAGGTTATATTAATAACCCATTTGATAATGATAATCCATGGAGATTCACTTATAATTGACTTACCTCGTTGCTATCAAGATTAACAAATATCGGCTGTCTACCGTGACGTAGCGCATAGCTAAGCAATAATTTGCATAATGAAGTTTTTCCTACATCTTCAGGACCTACAATCATAACCTTGAATGTCATTAAATTAACAAAAGTTCGATATATAACAGAGGACAAAGGTCAAATATTATCATTGCTCACCCGTGGTCCCTTATCACTCTTAGACTTGGCCTCTTCTCTACATTGTTCGAGTGCAATATGCATATTAAGATAACTTGTCATTGGAGTTTCATTAGCAACATATTCTACACTACATACTCCTTCAATGTATTAAATAATTAAGTCAAGGGTAATAATTCATTCATTCATATTAACGGAGACAAGTTAAATAATATAGGATATCTCTATTGTACAACCATGCCAAGTAAATATTGCAACTTTACGACCTGAAAATTCATATTCATGCCCTATTCCAATTTCTGTACCAAATATTTCCGCCGTACCAGAGATCAACTATATTTAATAAATATTATTTTTTTCATTATGTTACAAAATATATATACAAATTAATATAAAATATTATAAAATTATTAAACTAGCCCTAATAATCCTTTTTTATTATGTACGAAATATTTTCCTAACCAGTTTTAAAAAATATTTTTTTAACGCACCTTTAATTTCACCGTAGTGCCAAAATCTATTTCAAATCGAAACTCGTGCTCAGGTTCGAGTTTCCATTCTTTTGAAACTTCTTTCTATCACAACACAATAGTCAGTAATTATCGGTACTTTCAAGATATTGATAATTTCAACCAGAGAATTTACTTGTTGACTAGAATTTGCTTGTCCTTTGGTTGAGGAATGCATGTTTTTTCTGTTAATTTCGGAAATATTTTGCGTTAAAACATATTCGTGTAACAATACAATTGGGCTAGTTCAAAGATATACAAGTTTTGGTTAAAAACTTATTTGTTTTATCAATAGAAGAATCAATATAGATTGCTGAATTAAAATGAATTAGTCTTTTATAGATAAGTATTTCATATACAAAAACTTTGATATAAATTCATTAACTAAATAGTTTTGATTATTATATATATAATGAGATTTGTTACATTAAAAGTATTCAACTTATTTTCAAGTTTGTCATTAAATTTAATTAAATAAATCTTGTTCTAATTGCAGAATTAAAGATACTTGTAGGATTTAGAGAATTTTCTAAAATCATAAATTCCCACACTATCTTTAAATTATTGGAATTAACTTTTTAAAAATAAATTCTATATTATATAAAATTAGTTAATTTACAAATATTTCTTAATAAATACTATTTATAATAATACAAATAGATTTTGAATCAAAAATTGAAAATAAATCTAAAAAAAAAGCAAAATGTCTGAATTTGCAAGTAAAGTTGTTTTTAAAGTATGTTATTTTTTTTTGTGACAAGTGCTTTTTTTTCTGTACAATAAGCATCAACTGTTAATTTAAGCTTCCATTCTACAAAAAGATCCATTATTAATATCAGATTTCTTTAATAAGTGTTTGCACTATTACTGTAACTGTCTTAACATGCTTTCTAGAAGACATTTTAAAAAGTAAAAATTTATAATCCTCAAATAAAATTTTGATTTAATACACATTTATTACCATGACGTTCATAGAATAATTTTTGTGTAATTTTGCAATGATTGGGTAAGTCATGTTTGACGTAACGCGGTTTTTTCCAATCGATATATTTTGTATTTTTTTTTTTTTTTCATACTTTCGTTTCCAACACCATTTAATAAATAATATGGAGAAAAAAATAATTGAATATATTGCTAAAAAAGAAGTAAAAGAGATTGGACTATTTCTTGATACTGTTGACTTAAAAGAAGTACGCGTAATATTCTAAAACTTATCATTTTTTTTTTATTAATTAGTTTTAAAAGTAACGATAATAAAAATGTTTTCAGATAAAAAATTTGATTATCAATCTATTGAAAGATGATTCAAAAATTTATAATGAGAATAGTACTGGATGTTTTGCAATAATTTGTACACTTTTTAGAGGTAAAGTAAAAAGATACTTTCATATCTTGATAGTTGAGCACTAATAAAAACATATTAATAAAAACAATTAAACGGTATTATTAGCCTCAGTAACTGATGATTTAAATGGCGAGAAAAAAACTCTTGAGGATAGAGAATTGAGAAACGGAAGACGTTGCACAATTATACAAGAAATTATTAGATGGTATGCAAAAGCGATATATAAAATTTCCGATCCTTAATATAATGATAACAAAGCTTTCTATTAAAGGTTATGCGAAAAAGGAAATGATACTTCCTCACATTTTGATAAATTAGTTTCGGATTTAGTGGGGATATGTATTAACGAGGTAAACCTTGAAGAAATCGATTATTTTTTGCAATTAAACTTTATTAATATATTTGCCGTTATAATTGAATAATATTGAAAGATCGCTATTGGTACTACTGATTCTCCTGTAATGATTGAGATGTTTGTAGATATCTCTACATGTATTATACAGGCTATCCAACGTGGAATTCCCTTGCATGGAAAATTATTTTCATTCTTACCGACATTATTATCTGCTTTTGATTCCTGCAATGAAGTAGTATCATTTCCTTCTGATAAAAATTCAACTGGCCACTCTATGACAGGTCAAGATTATAAAGATGAAATTTTAAATAAATTATGCAACTATAAATGGCATACAAGTAATGTGTTAAGTTTAGCTGGAGAATTTCGTGATATTCCAATGTCTAATGAACAGGTATTGAATTTGATGCATATTGGGATCTATTTTATTCGGTTTAAAGAAATGAATCACGCTTATAGATTATTTTTTTCTGATATTAGTTGCGTTCTGTCGCAGAAAAAATTATGAGGTGAAAATTTAAAATATACATAAAATTTCATTCATTACTTTTTTTTTTATGTTTATGTAATGTAATGAATTGACATCTTTATTTGATACAGTCATTTTGATGTAATTGATATTAACGAGACCCCCCCACTCGTTTATCAGATCCTCTTGCTCTCTAGAAAGGTTAGTGTATTTTTGATCATATTTTAAACAAAAAGTAATTATTTCATTTGACTGATAGAAATTAACCTTTAGGGCCATAAACGTTTAATCTTGCAAGGAATTACAGAGTTTTTTAATAAATTGGATGATGAAATGCATGAAGATAATAGGTTAGTAAAGCTAATTTCACAATAATTAAAATTCTTTTTAAAATTTAACAAATTTCTAGAGAAAACGACTCCGTCGTCTCGTTATCGTTTTCGCAATTGAGTCATATGGAAGGCACAGCAATTATTCATATATGTTTCGCAATTACCCAAGATCAGGTCTTATAATCTATTTATTGTTCAATAATTTTTTTTTCTATTATTAATCATGTTAACTTTATATTCAAATAGGAATTAGGAAGTGAATTTATCAAATATATAAAATCAGATAAGACTTCATTTTTGAAACCGTTTAGCATCGCTTGTTTATTGTCAATTGCAAGGATACATCGATTCGAAGATCAGGTATGATCAGCTATTTATAATGTTATTTTAATTATTAAATTTTATTCAACATTTTATTAAATTTTTTACAAAGGCTCTCGATTTTCTCAAGACATCAATATTGGGTACTTTTAAGGATAAAGAAAAGCTGGGAAAAGCAAAATGGATATCTAGTATGCATGATGTTATAATTAATTCCTTCATTAATAAACCTTTAACATAACTTTCAATATTACCAGATGTCAATTTTTCAAAAATAAATTCTTCGGTATCATTATTTGAGCTTTTCCAAAATATAATGCAAAAGACTTCCTTTGGATGGGATCAAGTCACTCAAAGTTTAGTACAATTAGGAATAATTTTGATTGATTTAGCCGTTCCTTCTGCACAATGTGGAAAGGTTTCTGGTGAGGATACAAGTATATGATGAATTTGATTTATGAAAATTGTATATCATAATGATTAAATTGTTTTCAAAAGATACAAATAGGACCAAAAAAGGACCTATCGCACCTAATGAAATGACTAAGGATCTAGGAACAAAAATATTATTAGAAATGTTCAAGGTAATTACAAAATTAGGTACATTATTTTAATATAGAAAAAAATTTAATGTACACCAGGGGAAATCAATATCCTACGTATGTCACATTAATAAGAAGGGAGATCCTAGTATCCCTTGGTATTAATTAAAAATCTTTGATTAGATTTCTGAATACAATTCAAACGATTTATTTAGATTCATGATATGGTCCGCGCAGAAATATTAGATCAGCTTCAGTCTCGAGTTATTTCAAAATCATCAAGTGTTGAATACTTCCTGGATCTATTGGAATTAATCGTAAAAGAGAATTCCCATTCTCTCTATAATTATATATCCAGAGTATGTATGTAATGATTTGCTTTTCGAAATATTTTAAAAAAGTTAACTCTGGTAATTTATAGTTGAAAGGGACACTCGATTATTTATCATTTTTATCTATTACAACGGCTGATAGTCTATTGAAGGCATTACAACCATTATTTTATGAGAATCAATCTCTACGTGATGGACTAATGGTGATCCTACGAAAGGGTTTATTCACAAAGTACGAATTTTTTATCATTCAATATTGCCTTCTATAAATCTCATGGTTTTCTTGATTTAATATGAAAGGGAATTGGAAGGGCGCCAGATCGCATTGTCCGGATATTTGAGACTGTTAAAAATGCCATCGGCAAATAATCGAAGAATATGTTCTAATGATTTACTTGACAATCAAAATTCTCTCTCATTTGAAATTTTAGGTAAGAATATTTGATATAAATCATGTAATTGCTTAGATAATATGATAAATATTATTATTATTTTAGGTAATTTACGCAAGTGTTTCAGCCAACAACCACAACTCAGACTATCTTTATATGAAGGTTTGCTAGAAATGATGGATGTTCATCAACATCTCAACCCAATAATCTTTGACATTCTCTATCCACATGTACGAGGATTTGTTATAAAATTTTTTTGGAATTATTATGAAATAGTTTAACTTTATTTCTATTTTTAGTTCCAACAATTTTTTGAACAGGGATCATCTCTATATGCGACAGTTCACATTGAAAGTTGTATAGAAACTTTAAATGGGGAACCACATATTGTTGAACCTTTACCTTATTTATTGATTTGCTTAAGCAAACCAATTACCACTTTTAAGATGATTAATGATGGTAATGAAGGTTAGCATTTACTGTAAGTTACATAACTACTCAAATTCTATATAAACTCAATTTAAAATACACGTTTAATCAATTTAGGAAGTTATCAATTCAATAAAATTAAGCTTGAAGAATGCAAAACGAAATTTCAAACTTTGATTGACCAGCTAATACATTCAGACATGTCTGAATTCATGATTCACCCAAGCGCCGATTTCAAAATGAATTCTAATGAGGGTTGTCGTAATAATATGTGCGCTTCTATTCTACTTGGAATGTATGAGGTAATGTGATTAATTGACTGTTATAATATATATGTTATGATAAATATTATATTGGATTAATAACATTAATTATAAATAAAAGGCAGCAATCGAACACTCTTTCTTTGCTTCTGAACCCACTTTAGAATTATCAGAGATTATTTTAAGGTTATTTAAAAGATATACGGCACTCTTTGAAGTTCTAAAAGAAAAGTCTGTTAATGCTCGAGGTTAGATTATGATATTTTTATTGTCAGATTATTTAGATCTATATCTTCTATTATGTGCATATTTATTTTATTGTTTACATTGATATTTTTCAGGTCGTAAGACAGTAACATCCATTACGGAAAATTCGATTTTAAGCTTTAAGTGCATTT